CCTTTGTGCATTTGCACTCCCCATTTCTCGTTTCATTTTTACTTCTCCATCCTCTTCTTTATTTTCCTTTCGACGACCTTGAGATGTCATCGTTGAACTGAACGGCTGTTGTTCATTCACAATATGATGATCATATTCTAATCATCAGGTTGCGTCTGGATTCGACCTCAGGTCTGTATTTCAATAGGATAGATAATAGAACTCTGAAAACTGCAGTTCCCAGCACGTGTTGCTCCCCGCAAATAGATTGGAGCATTTGTAAAAAAAAAAAAAAAAAAAACTTAGAAAAATGACCCAAAAACATTATGCGTAGAAGAAAAGTCAAACAAAAAAATGCTTCGAATCGTGGAAAAGTGTGTATTTTTCTGTTCTCGGCTGCGACCAGTGACCTTGCATCCTCTTTTACCTCTGTACGCCAATCATTGTGGAACGAACTCATAACACTGGGATCCACCCCACTCTAGGTGCGTCCTGCGAGAACTGTAGCAGCCAGCCCAGCTATAGGGTGGCGGCTAGATACTGCTGTGGATATCAAATGCACGCTTCAAAATAGTAATATTGAAATCGAGGCGACCAGAGCGGCTATCAAAAGGCTTAAGCATGATTAATTAAGATAATAAGAATACTAAAATATATGCTACCAGAGTGGCTCACGATGACTTGCCCGTCCGGACCATAGACTCTTTTTCCTTTTTCCAATGTGACCCTGAGGCAAAGGATCTTCTTTTTGGCAAACACCTTGCCCACCCCTTGCTTGCCGGGCTGCCTGAGGATAAAGGCAAGACCCCGGCAGCCCCGACCGCAGCCAGATTAATACAATGACACTTACGAAAGCCGTCAAAAATCATGTGGACTATATAATTCTGTTGAAGTTATCAGTTGAATATCCGCTCCCTCGTCCATTAAACCACATTAGGGATTTAAAAAAAAATTATAATAATAAAAAAATAAAAAATAAAAAAAACATCGTCCACAAGACTGAATGAAAGAACTTGAATGTACACTGTACACCCTACTACGCAGCACCAACCGAAAAAACAGATGCAAAATGCGGCCGCAGGCTTCTCACTTGAATGAAATTTTGGGTCATCGTAGCTGTATTAGGTGCAATGTTAGGTGCAATTTTCAGGATCGATACATCGAAAATGACCAAGCACAACCTACTTGGTGGAAGATAGTAGTCAGCGAGAGACCGAGTGAAAGAATGAGTTGATGGACTCTGTGTTGACAAATACACGGAGCTGAAGGAGTTTCATGCACCCTGTGTACCAAAAGCTTGAGGGGGGGGGGAGAGGGGGGGGGGGGGGGGGGTGTAAATCATGCCATCTGTAGTGTGATAACACATGAGACAAATTTTGTAGGGCATTCTCACTCTCAGACTTTTTCAACTGAACTCTTGACGTGATTGTTGTCAAATACATCCTTGCTGGACCATAATTGCAGTCGCTTACATGTAGGAAAGCGGTAGCGTGAGTATGCCCTGACAATGATCATCAAGTTGAACTCCTCTTTAACAAAACCCGCCGACACATGCCGCAATTTTGCCGTGGTAGGAGGAAGATAAGATCCACACATGCATTTATGGTATAGTTGTTCTTTTTTTTTTTTTTTTTTTTTTTTTTTTTTTTTTTTTTTTTTTTTTGAAAACATCCCCATTTGTGTTAGTGGTGCTGATAATTCCTCCTTCCCCCTTAGCCATATTGAACCTCCGGGCACTCCTAGCATTCTCTCTCGCAAGACTCCATCTATTGGTGGGGAGCAGTACCTGCTGTCAGAGATAGAGATGTTCTCCTCCAGACCTTCTATCATGGTGTCGATCTGCCTATTGAAGATCCCTAAACAGCTAAGCTCCGTACCACTGTAGGTGTGCAATGGAGAGTCCATGGGTTGGAAAGGGGTCAGGAAAATCAGAAGGAGGGCGCGGAGGAACCGCCTCATCAACCTTGGTCCAATCACTAAAACAGATACCATAATCCCTTATGAACATGTCTTCACCCCTATCCGAAGATTGTCCTCCCTCCCAACAAATGTGGGCTATCTTGCCCTCCATCCCCAACCATTCCCTGGAGAACTGTCGAATAACTTACATTATGTCTTTTTTCGTTTGAAACAGATCCAGTTTTGCTTTCACACTTTGTCATTTTGCCTGAGTTCTTCCTGAACATATTGCTTAACCATTTCGATGATCTCTTCGCCCTCTATCCTGACGCCTTCAATCGCGTGTATGCACCTTTTTCGCCAAAGGGCCCAAATGATAACTCTCCTCCCTGTTGTAGACATGTTATTTTCGAAAGGACAGTCTGTGGCGGAAGACCAGGGCCATGTGGATATAGTGCCAAGCTGTCGCCAGATCCTGTCTCACCATCGCCATGTTTAAACCACCCCCGGGCATTGCAAAAAGATATGCTCTATGATTTCCGCGATCTTTCGCTGGGGGAAGGAGGTCAAACAGGAATGACACCATGGTAGCGCTAAGCCGTTTTGTTCCAGGTATGTCTGATCTATTAGCCAGTTATTGGTTGGAAGGCAGCGTTGTTGTATCTGCCACTGCAGCAAAGCCAGTTTTGCCGATTTAGATCTTGTGGCCTTGAACCACCGGATGGGTTGAACTGCGTCCCTTCCAACGTTCAGATGGGTTATCCATCGCTCTTTCACAATTTCTTTCACATTTTCTCTTGGTCTCAGGAGGCGATAGGCAGATTTCACTGACAAGGTGAAAAAAATCATGTTTTCCCCTGTTTTTCTTGGTGGCGCCCCTGTTTCCCTCCGGATCGAAGGGGAGGTTGGCAAGTGGGGTTCCAAGGAAGAAAGTGAACCAGTCCTCCTGCGAATGGAGTACCTGGACCATTGGGATCCAGCAAGCAAAAATTGGAAATCATCGGCTCAATTAAAAAAAGAGATTAGATATGCTAAAAATCTAAATGACAATTTGGAGTTGCTACTTACATCTATCCCTCTGGCTTGGATAGTCAGTCTTAAAAAGGGATCGGTTTTCTTGGAGGCTGACTGGGTTTGTGCTATTCAGCCAGATGGGGTCCAGGTAATAGGTCAAATAATTCATGTGCATACAGAAGGAGCTCTTGTTAATATATGTCAGTTCCATAAGGATTACACAATAGTACAAGGTCAACAAGATGGGGTTTCCTTTTTTCCTTATAAAATGATGTACAAAATCAGGGTATTGTATTGGTCGTTGTTTAACGGCTGGAGAGTTTACAATCCACAACACCCTATCCCCGAACTCCCTTTTGACCCAGAAGAGTGGATATGGAGAAACAATATGAGATGTAAACCGCAAAAGCTGCAATCTTTAACAGTCGTATCGTCTTCTTCACCCTAGAGTGGATGTTGTTGCTATATTGCAAGAAAGATGGAGCCGACATCTCAACATAAACATGGAATCACTCCGGCATGTTAAGTGGAATAGTACAGTTAAGGAAAGGCCGGAAAAATTTGCATCATTACAATGGCAGATCTCGCATAGGTGCCTCCCAACTAATGATTGGTTAATTGATCACTCTTCATTAGAACAATGAGGATTGGCTGTTCCTTGGTGTCAAGCATGTATCTCTATCTTTCCAAGTAGGAAAATTAGAGAGACTATCAAGCACATTTTTCTACAGTGTCCAGGATCGCAACTGATGTGGAGACGTTGGGACTATACCTGGAAAAATTTAACAGGTTTGGACTGGCCATGGGAATGGCGTGCTTTACTCCTGGGACACTGGATACCAGTAATGTTTACTTCGACCACCTTCCAACAAAACTTGTTCAATATGGGAAGAAAGACAATCATATGGGGGTTATAGTATAAAAGGTGTGTTTTAACATGGGAGGAGGTAAAAATTGAAGGGAATGAAGTAGCTCAATTAATTACACAGTTTATTCAAACTGAAATCAGGGCACATTGGAACAGAACCAAGTCTGAACTGAAAATGCTTACACAAAAAAAGAATATAAAACAAAAAATTACAGAATTCCAAATAAGTTGGCTGGGGGATACTTCAAGGGAGAAATTGGGGAATGTATCTTGGCCAGGTGGAGAAGGGGAGGAAGTCCCACTAAAAAGGGACTATCAGATCACTTTCCGGAACTGGTTTGACATCAGCCCTGGAGCTTCATTGAAATCTCCAGATCTGTTCCCGAATCCCTTCCCGCCATCTGAGTTAGCTCTTGTTGATCTAAAATGGTTTGGGATTAGAGAATCTTAGAGTTGATGCAGCTAGTTGCTATTGGATTATCTGGCAGACTTTTGACTGGTTGGACCACTGCTGTTTTTCCAGTTTTTTCCTGATTCATTCTGAATTTGAGAAGCAATGCAAAAAAGAGGAGATAGGGAGGGGGAGGAATTAGCATGTAGGAGCAAGATTTGGCGCCGTTCTCATGGTGAAGAGATTCCTCTACTCTGCTCAGTCAATCCCCTGATCACCAGGGAAATCAATGCTGGCAGATATCTCCCTTGACTCCTTGGATTGTTTCAAAACATGGCTCAAAACTCATTTGTATAAGGGACGCTGGACCCGTTTTCCAGCAGGTGATGCTCCCCACAAATAGATGGAATTTTTATTTCTAAAAAAAAAAAAAAAAAAAAAGGGTGGTACCTCTTTAGTCTATTGTCATATTCCCGATGAAAAAGATTCACCAATGCTTTCTGGGTGTGTACCACGACCATAGTCCCCACGCTTTCTAGATCACCCGAGATTTGATAGCCACTCAGTCTTTTTTTTTTTTTTTTTTTTTTTTTTTTTTTTTTTTTTTTTTTTTTTTTTCTTACCCAAGTAGATGCTAGTGGTGCTGATAAGAGCAGACACCACTCGCATGCTCGAGGAGGCTCCATCTATTGGAGGGGAGCAGCACCTGCTGGAAATCGGGTCCAGCGTCCCTCAACAATTATAACCAGGTGTTCCGTAAACCACCCGAATTCATATCAATGTGCCACGTGTCCATCCCACAAAATGCATACGTAATCAACCGAAATGGCACGCTGGCACACTCAATCATATGATGAGCAGCATTGATTGCCCTCAACCGAGGGGATTAACTGCTCATCGTACTTAAAACGAGATTCCTACTCTGAAACCCTCATCGTCCACTTAACAAAACGTTCGCAGCACCATGAAAGGGAGAGGTAGTCGGAATAGGAAGTTAAATCAGCTATTATGGCTAATTACGAGGTCGTCACGAAGTTACTCTCACAGGTCATTCGGAAATCGCCATATCCCCCCACAATCCTCATAATCAGAGGTTAAGCCAAAAGCTCTTACTGCGTCACAAGAAGGAGAGGCTTCTGCTCCTATCTGGGCCTGCCCACGGCCACAACTTTAAGGTTCATAATAATTGGGGCAAGGTACTCGAAGAGGGTACAAGGTTTAGTACGTATAAATGGTTTCAGAATCAGGGGGGTTGGAATAAGGGGGGTTGCAGACACCGAGGATGAGAATCCAGCCACTAGCAGCACGACGAGTGCACAAGTTATAACATGGCGGGCACCATCCTGGTGGGGCTGGGCTAGTTGAAAGTAGGAGCTCTGCAAATTGGAAGGGTAACATATGCAGCCTCGAGGGAAAGAGAGAAGCTCTGGCGTATGAACTCTACTGGCCATATGCCCAACAAACACTGTAACACAATGTTGTATCCAGTGGGACGCTGGACCCGATTTCCAGCAGGTGCTGCTCCCCACCAATAGATGGAGCCTCCCCGATGGTGCTAAATGTGTCTGCTCGTATCAGCACACCTACAAAACAATTAGAGTGTTGTCCTCCTTATCCCACCCCTTCACGCCACCATCCCGCACCCCACATCCCCGCGTCGCCTTCCTGTTCACCAAACATTCCCATCACCCACCCCTCTCGCCCGTGGCCCCAATCATTCCCCACAGCAGACAAGAGGGGAAGCGGGATGGCAAGGGGAGAGAGGGGGGATAAAAACCAGCGAATCACACTCACTTCTCCTCAAATATCTGCGCCAGTTTTGTTGTTGTTGTTGTTGTTGCAGGTTTTGTCATCGCATACCGTATCGTTGTTGTCGTCATCGATCCTGGCCGGTTCTCCAACGGTGATGCTGCTGTCCTGAAGGCCGTCAGCGGTATCGTCGTCATCGTCATCATGAAGTCGGTCCTCGAACTCGCCACAAAGCCCCTGCCCCTCCTCAAGGGCCTTATAGCCGCGCCGCATCAGCGCATCCGATCGTGGAAGATTCACGAATTCCACATAAGGGGGCAACCCCTCTTCCAACCCCCATGCATCATGACCCTGCTCAATCGGCTTCCGTTGCTGAACACAACCTGGAATACTCGATGATGTCGCTGCTATGGATAGTGGTGTTATTATTATGGTTGTTGTAATTGGCAATATGGCCGTAACGGCCTCTGTTGGTGCGGTCGGTGTCGGTGTTGTTGATATTGATGTTATTAATGATGTTGTTGATGATGTTGCTGCTGTTGATGCTGTCCATGTCATGGTGTCTGGCGGACCACTCGCATATCTCCTCGCTAGAAGGCCAGCAAACATATCTTTGACCTGCTGCAGCATCCCAGCACGGTCATGGAGAGCAGTAATGGCCCCCGCTCTGTCGATCGCATCCTGCTGTCGAAGGGAGATCTGCTCATAAAGTTACTCCTCCCACCCATCGTAGATCTCCACTCCCTCCAACAGAATGTCACATGGCAGATCGCCATGCTCTTGACACAGCGCAACATACATCTCCTCCAGCTGCTGTTTGTAGATGATCACAATCGACAACGCGGACACTTCCTCCTCAATGTGCAGGTCAAGAGGGGTTCCCCGGAGCCCCCCTTGAGGCAAAGTCTCCATGCCCTCCCCTATTATTGTCGTTGATATTGAAAGCTGCCGCCACTATGCGTCAACGTGTCAACAGTTCCACGGCCAACGTCACCCCTGTCAGCGCGTCGCGAGACACCTACGTCGCCAACAACAGGCGCCACGTGGCAAAACACCACGCGCGTCTGCCGAGCGCGTGTATAGGCCCAACGCCTGAAGGACCCTCCCCTATGGTCCTTTGCATAAGATGCACACCCAATCCAGGGGTACCAAAAAGATTAATTCCTCCAAGTTCTTCCCCACGTGATGCCAATATTTTAGAAGAGGTTTCAACTTTTTTGTCAGTCCTTTTCTTCTATGTCTCATATGTCCTTTATTCTTATCACCCCCCTTTTGACCCAACTGTTCCACGGGGGGGCCGATAGTATACCCTCCCGTACCGACCAGCGATATGGATGTTCCCGAAGAGAGGTTGTCTCGCCACCTCCTCCCACCTAGACAGCCTGCCCTTGTCCGGTAGGGGGAGTTGACGCCACACGCGAAGGGCCCTGATCCAGAAGTCGTCCCCGACCAAGTCTCGCCTTACAACCCCCCTTTATGTGTTTCTTAAGGATTGGGAGGGGCGGGGAATGAACCAGAAGCGGTTTTCAAGCCAGGTCAGCGGGTGGATCTCACGAGGGGTCTAGGAAGCCAGATGCGGAATTTGTTCAAGGGTCAAAGCTGCCCACGGGAGATAAGGGGTGAATAACAACCACCTGATCCATTGGACCGTCAAATTGAATGCCATAACCTGAATAGCCGGGTCCACAATTCCTAGACCCCCTTTGTCTCTAGACTGAATAACGATCGGCCAGGCGAGTCTAGTGATCACATTAGAGAGAGTATTGTCCCTCCTCCAGAGCAGCGCATTAACCTCTCTTCAATGCTTTGACAACCTCTTTGCTGAGGGCCCATATCGCAAATTTGTACCATAGTGAGGCCAGCACCAGATTGTTGATGGCCAAGGTTCTGCCCATCAGTGATGTCCGCTTGTCATTCTAGTGGGTAATCTTTTCTAGCGCGGGTTTCAAGATCCATTCATCATTCGAGGTTGGTCTGCCAAAGGCGGTCATCATGATGCCCAAAACCCATATCGGAGCCTCCATGGGTAGCCATTTAACCTGCGGCTGCTTGAGAGGGTGCACCCCTTGGTGGTGAATCCACCACCTCAAGGTTTTGCAACCCCAATTGACTGTCATGTGGGACACGACTGTGAACCGCTCCATGAGGTTACTGATCTCCTTCATATTTGCAGGGGAAGCACCCAGCATGACAGTCGGGTCATCTGCGAACATAGAGCAGACCGGGATGACTTATTCTGGGATGGCAGAACTCCAAAGCTTTCTCAAGTCCTTGTTTCAAGTTGTTTGTGCGGAGGTCCGCGACCAGCGTTTCCATTACGATAAGGAAGAGAAAAAGGGCTAGCGGGTCCCCTTGGCGGATTGATCTTTGCAGATGTATTTTCGGAGCTAGCATTCCATCGACATGAACTCTCCTCGTGGTGTTTTGGTGCAGAATTGCGATCCATCTTCAGAAATGGGGACCGAAGTTCATTTTTTTCAAACATTTATCCAGAAAGAAGCAATCCACGTGGTCATATGCTTTCTCAAAATCAATAAATATTACGCCCGCATTGCATTTATCCTGCCTTGTTAGCCTGAGGAGCTCATTTATCAGGAGAATGTTATCATGGATTCTTTTTCCTTTGATGAACCCCGTTCGAGAAGGGTGAATCAGAGTTTCCAGAACAGGGATCAGGCGGTTTGCAAGGGCCTTTGCTGCCATCTTACATACAACCGTGAGCAGGGTTATCGGCCAATAATTCCTGATATCCATTTTATCCCCTTTTATGTGCAACAGGGTGAGGACGCCCTGTCCAATTAACTCCCCCATGCTTTTAGATTCGCACACATATCCGTAATACTTCATAAGGTCCGGGGCCATCATATCCCAAAATGTCTCCTTGAACTCTTTTGGGAGGCCATCCAAGCCCGCCGCGTTCTCCTCCTCCATTTGCAGCAAAGCGGTCCAGATTTCCTCCTTGGATAACGGGTAGTCAACTTGTGTTTTTTGTTGTTCAGATAATTCACTTTCCAGTGGTCGGAGAAAGGTCGCAACCTCGTCTTCCTTTACCTGCTTGTCCCGCTGAGAGCATCTGGATGTGAAGAGGTCCTTGAAGAAAGATCGCGCAATCCATGTACACTAAGGAGTGGAGGATGCTATCACCTCGCACCCCTGCTTAGGGTCGTACAAAGGCTCTATGCATGTCCTCCGTGTACGCATTCAGGCCAGGCTTTGATTTGCATTCCTTCCCATCTTTGTCGGGTGACAGAGATCTGCAACGGTTGTTGTAGGACTTGTAAATTTGTTTGCTGGTTTGGTACTGTGTTCACCGGATCTGGATCATCCTGTTGTTCAAGTTCTGATGGATTTGTTGAAGTACCTTTACCTCATGTTCATGTTTGCGGGCCACTAGTTGTGACGAATATTCTTTGCCTTTATTATTAAGAAAAAACAAACCATTATTAAACCAGTCAATTTCCTGTGGCATGTTTTGCTTTTGGGTGTGCCAAAATACCCAACAGTCCTTCATATATTTAAGGAATGATTTTCGTTGAAGAAGGAAAACATTTAGTTTATAAAAACAGTGCCTTGATCGAGTTTCTTGCGGAACGTCAGGGTAGAGTGCTAAAAGTAACGAGCCTTGCAAGTCCTCTGAGATAAGGATTAGGTCAATCCCATATCTGGATTGGCCCTCGGCTCCTTCCTTCTGAGGGCAAGAGTAGTACCTCGTATCTGCGTAAAGCTTCCGGAAGGTATCGAAAAGCTTCAGTGATAGCCATAGGTCCTGTATTATTCGTTCATCTTCCTCAATGTAAGGAGGGGCGGGGGAGGGTATTCTCCATTTGTCCATCCATCGGGCCAGGGGCCACATTGCAGTTCCCTGCGATTACGACTGGGACCCCCGTCAGGATCTGCGATTTCAACGTCTCAAAGAAACACCTTTCCCCCACCCCGTTGGGGACGTAGATACTGGCAATACAAACCACCTCAAGTTTTATCTTAATGAGAATCGAAACCCATCTTCCTTCCTATTGGTCTGCTACCCAAAGGATGATGTATGCCCGAGACTCCGCGGGGAGCCATATGGCAGCCCCTGCACTCCCGAGATTTGGAGCGTGTGCTTTGAAGGTTTTATTATGTTTGTAATTTCTTGTGTTCTGTGTTAGTTTATCTTATGTTTGTGATGTCTTGTGTTCCGTGTTAGTTTATTTTATGTTTTTAATTCCTTGTGTTCCATGGAATGCCGTATTATGTGGTACCACACCCACACATCCCCATGCAGGCCGAGGAACATGGAGAAGAACTCCGACGCTCGGCAGCATCAGGCAGTACTATGTGGGCAGGTAGGAACATGTGTCGAGGATAATACTACGATCCCTGGTCGGTCTCATGTGGCGCCAACAGTACCATGTAGGTCCGCAATAATGCACATTGAAAAAGCAAGTGGACCCGCCGGAGCGAGGCTGCGGCGATGTGGAGGGGGTGGGGGGGGGAGGAGTGGAAGAGCGCAAGGAGAAGGCGGTGGAGGAAGGGGAGAGGAAGCGGGAAGAGAGTGTGAACGCGACTTGCTGGCCTTCCACACTCTCAGTCCTCCTCACCCCTCTCCTCCCCCTCTACTTCCCCCCGCCCGCATTGCCCGGACTCCGCACCCGCCCACAGGCCGATCCTTTTTTTTTTTTTTTCCATCAATGAATGAATGAATGAATGAATCAACCAATCAATCCACTCCCGAGCGTCCCGTCAGCCTCCCACCCAACCGATTTTTCCAAACAGAAAACGAAAAACAAATAAATCAATCAGTCAATTGATCGATCAAATTGATTGATTGATCGACTCTGTGTGTGTGTGTGTGTGTGTGTGTGTGTGTGTGTGAGAGAGAGAGAGAGAGAGAGAGAGAGAGAGAGAGAGAGAGAGAGAGAGAGA